TGACTTTGCACCATCCACCTCTCTCCCATTTCTTTTTGCCCTATCCTGCTAGGCTTAGCTCAGGGGTCCCATCCTCTGGAGATGCCGTCCTTGATCCTTTTATTCCTGGGCCAGGTTAGAAGTCTCTGCTCAGAGTTCCCTGCTGAATGGGCTAACTCCATTGCTGCTTTGGCAGGATGCTCCACCCTCCTGTTCCCTTGTCTCCTTTCTAAACTAGACTGACAGGGTCTGGAAGATGCAGATGGTACCTGTCGTTGGTTTAGCTCAAATGCCCATTTCATGCCCAGAAGCAGAAGTGGGAGGACTATAACATCTTAGTTACATGTAAATAAGGAAGAAGGAGAGATGGGGAAGAAGGTTGCTCTAGTTGTTTCCAAGAGAGAAGGAAGTTCTGGGAGAGAAGAATCCGAGTGAGGCTACTAAAGAACTGTACAACTGAAAGTAATTACATCTCCCTTGGTATCTAGTAACAAGCAACTTAATTTCTTGAATTTTCTTATGTCATCTGTCATCTTAATGATTTTTTTTCTGGATAATATTTTCTGGATAATATTCTTTCAATATGTACAACAACTGGACTGTTTTGGTTAATTGTTTTCTATATCTGGGCTTAAAATGTATTTGTTTTAAAAATGCTGAAGTGATGATTGTATAAATGAAATTATACCATACTCCAGATTTGATTATTTTGTTTTCACCTGAAACAAAGATATTGCTGGAGGCATTACTGTTTTGTGTCATTATAAATATCTTGAAAAAGTAACATTATCATTATAAGAGATAGTAAACTTTTAACAACAATGGCAGAAGCAATGAAAGCTATCACATTATATTTTTAATTAATTTTTGTGTGTTTCTTTGGCTGCCCCAACTTCTGCCTCACCTTTGCTTTCGGACGGACTACCCCAAACTCTCAGACTACATTCATAAAATTGATTTGGTCTCAGTCTCCTCTGCTTGCTTTTCCCAGTGAAATCACATGCCCAGGAGTGGAAGGCATGGGATATGAAAATTTATGGCCCATCATGTATGCTTGACAGCTTTGGGATCAATCACAGCTGTCCTATAAACACCAGCTCATGCTGTTATGTTCTTGAAACATACTATATACTTATCCATTTGATTCATACTGCCTTCCCTAAACAATGATCAATACATTTTGGATGATCACTCAAGATTGATCAGAGCTATTTTTTCACGAACATGCCAGAAATACGATAGATAAGATAATCTATAATGATGAAGGATGCAAATTTGGGGGCATCGAGATGAGTGTCTGTAATAGGTGCTGTGTTCCCATTTCATGCCATGTCCTTTAACTCATAGCAGCACCTGGTAATCAGAGGTACTCTTTTCCAGTCACTGTTGACCATCAACCCTTTCTTGTACTTGTTGCTAAGTTGATTTAACACACAGTTTCACCAAATACAGTGGGAAACTTCAAAATGAAAAGGAAGTATGTCAGGTTCTTGAATAACATGGCTCATTCTTCACTTGAATCCCTGGCTGATTTTTGACAAATATCAGTAGCAGTTATTTCTGACAGGCATCGTCACCTACTTATCAGTCCAGGTTCAAACAGCCACATCTCAAGTCACATGCTGCTTGTACTTCCTCTGGGGGAGAAACAGATTCACAAACCCTGGGTAATCATCCTCAAACCCTAGCAGAATTAAAGGAGAATCAATTGCACTCCTGAAGTTATGGGGCAAAGGCGTTGGGAGAACTGTTGTCCACGTGAACAATTAGGTGATAATTACATTTTATTGAATTTCACAAGTTATAAAATATATTGGCTTATAGATGCTTTGTTTTCTGCTATAGCCTAGTATTTAGAACAATGCCTGACACATGGAATTACTAAATTAAAGAATATCTAAAGAAGGGTATTAGTCTCATGAATTTTACATATTACTTATTCAATGACTTTAATAAAAGGAATTATTCAATGATGTCTAAAATAAGTAGAGAGAGGAATGAATGAGAATGAAAGGAAAAGCTGGGGGAAAATATTTCTAAATGATCGTAACCGCAAACATGATAAAAATCTGGATAAATAAATTTAGATCTTAAAAATTTGCTAATGGTCCATTCTTCAGACAGATTTTGACATTCATTCCTTTCTCCATTAAAAAAATATTTTTTAAAAGTAAAATGTATATTTTTAAAATTCTGTCTTTCTCTTTTTAGAAAAAATAATATTGACCTAGCTTCCAGAAATTTGAAATAAGAGACTGTTTGCTGAAAAAATAATTCTGCTTATCTAGAGTGGAATTGGATTTTGAGGAAAGTACCTTTTTATTAAAGCATGACTTCCTCTTTGCTCCCAAAGTGCCAACACCTAGATTTGTGGGTGTTCTTTATGGGTGCCTGGTGCTTCCATTTATCTTACTGTTATGCCAAGAGCACAAGATCTTGACCTCTCTTTATTGGAGCCATTTCTGAGTATTGTATCGGCAGCTAGCAACTTTGGGATTGAGGTAATGTCTCCCCATTAAGACAAATAACAGACTTGCTTACTGCTTGCTATAAAACAGCAGATTCCACAAGTTGAGGGTTCCTCTCCTGAATACCATCTTCTGTATCATCCCTGTGGAAACTGGGCCCTATAGAATGGATGTGACATGCTGTCACTCAGCTATGGCTTTTGCTGTAATGAAGTCCTTCAACTCTGACCCAGAAGTCATGTGTCTTCTGTTAGCATCCATGAAACTGTGACAAGTTAACATCAGAGCCCTCAAGAGTTCTTGAGAGTATGACTTCATCTAAGGATGGGATGGCTCATAATTAGAAAATTCTAGCACCCTCAAGATGCAAGAAAGTGAATTTTCAAAAGGAAAATTCAGTGCTTTAGATATTAAAAACAACAACAAAAAACCCTGATGCTATATATGAAAAATACCCCTTCACTCATGTAAATAGAAGTTTTAACCTGAAAAAAATTAAGAGATTTTGAAATTATATTAATTTTTTAAAATTCATCCCTCTATTTATTTATGAATGTTATTCCAAAGATTTAATAAAATGGTGATGTTAATAAAATAAAAATTGGAGTTTCCACTGAAAAAATCTAAAAAGGAAAAAAAAACATTTGTAAGTCATGAGAGGATTTCTGTACTACAGGATCTCATGATTTATTGCTTCTTAATAATATAGTGAAGAATTCATATTAAAAGTAATAATTAGACATCCATTTTCCAAACTTCAGCTTCTATTTTTGCTGAGGTAAAAGTATCTATTGTTTTTTTCATTGAATTTGTAGCTTTAAAGCTGGAAATTATTTCTTCTATGCTTTAAAAAGGGAGAAAAAATTCTAAATCTTTTGGAGTACCACTTAGCTATAGAAAATGCTATATAGCATGGATGAATCCTAGTTCAGTTGATCATAATTTGCATAGTTACCAGGCATGGCATTCAAATGAGCAAACTCTAGGAGAGTCTAGAAATCAAAAGTCTTGGGGGTTAAGAAATATGAATTCCATTCTCCAGATCTGAATTGTATTACTGAGTGAAGGTGAGAAAGTAACTAACTACTCTTCCCCTTCTCTTCCTCCTCCTCCTCCTTCTTTTTTTCATTAAATTTTACTAGAGATATTCCTTCTCCTTCAGGGCCAAGAGTAATATTAGAAGAAAAATCTTCCCAGCAAAGTACCAAATAATGAGAGCAGAGAAAATTGGTATAAATGAGAGAGAGAGAGAGAGAGAGAGAGAGAGAGAGAGAGAGAGAATGAATGAGTGTGTGAGAGAGCAATTCTATATTTGCAAGGCTGTAAACCATAGGATTTGTAATAGAAACACTGTTTTATAGCAACATGTTTTATAACTCTTTTCCTTAGAAATGATAATAATTGACTTGCGGATGACCCACTCAGTTTGTAGATTGAACATGAGACATAAATTCAAGTCTCTTATTCAAATATAGGATACTTAAAAGAAACAACACTTTACATCTACATTCAATATATCCATTAATATGTTATTTCTCTTTTAAAAATAACAAAATCCCAACAACAAATAATTAGACAATAAATACTTCTTTAACGTTTTTATGATAATTCTAGCCTCTGTTTTAGGATTTTCCTATTCATCTTTTCAAAAGTTTCTTACTAGTAAAGAAATTTAAAGTGAAGTTCCTCTTTGAAGGACACTGTACTCAGAGTCTATGTCATGATTTTAGTTCACAATGTAACTAAGCTTCCTGGGGTTTCCCCATTCATTGCCTGCCACGATGTTTATTTTTGAATCAGGGAAATTTAACGTATTAAACAATTCCAACATGGTAATTGGAAGGTATATATTACACTGGTAAAGGTAAAAAAAATTCAAGTAAGATCACCATCCTCATATACTGAGACCTACTCAAGTGATGTGACCAGGACATTACCACTCAACAGGAACCACCTGCTACGATCAATATTAAATGAGTCAACAAGAAGCAGCAGAGCACTTCTTGAACTCAAGATGATTCAAAGATGGTCCACAGCAAAATTTCTCTGTGCCTGACTTAAAAAGGCAAGATCAAGCTAGAGCAATCAGGAGGGGCAGTTTCTGGCCTTTTGGTTTGCAAGGTTTTCACTATCCATGTATTTCGACCTAATAAATGAAAGAGGATTTAAAAAAGAACAAAGACCTTTTGGTAAATACTTTTAAGTTTTTTTTTTAATCCTTGATATATTTTATGAGACTCCCCTTTCTCTGTTAGAAATACCGCAATGTAGACACAAGCATTCCCCACGAACAACCTATGGTAGCTCTAAAATAAAACTTTCATAAGGTAATTTTTTAAAAGTAACTCTTTACCTGTGAAGGCACAGAGTCTCTTAGGTTTGAGAACCAAATAATGGACACCATGGAATATATTTTGAAAACTATCCTTTGCTGCTACTAATTTTGAAATTCTACATGGAGTTTTGACTTCTGTGATCTACAGCTATTGCAGTAATGGGTCTGTTACTACTTTGCATGAATACCTAAAATTATCATCTTAACCTTACACTGACCTTATTAGCACTGTTAAAAAAATCATTTGCCTTTTTTAACCAGGTTTTCCTTTCCACCATGAGTCGACCAAATTCTTCTTGAAGCTGATTCAGTTTCTGGTTAGACAGCTGTAGATGTTCTTTCTCCACACAGTCCTTTCCCCGCAGAATCCCCAAGGCCTCGCTTTTCAGCTTCTCTGCAATGGAATTCCATTCCTGCAAGAGAGTACTCTCTTTAGTTATTATACACATCCCCTATTATGGATTGAATGTTGGTGTCCCTCCCCAAATTCTTGTGTTGAAATCTAACCTCTGGTAAGATGACATTAGAAGATAGGGCCATTAGATCATGAGGGTGGGGCCTACTTAAATATAATTAGAGTCCTATAAAAGTGGCCCAAGAGAACTCTCTAGCTTTCCCCCCACTATGTGAGAATACAATGAGAGGTTAGTCATCTACAACCCAGGAGACAGCCCTACCACAACCCAATTAAGGTGACACCTTGATTTTGGACTTCCAGCTTCCAGAACTATGCAAAATAAATTTCTATTGTTTATAAGCTACACCATCTGTGTTACTCTGTTACAACAGCTCAAACTAAGACACTTCCCCCCTCTGTGATCTAAGATTCAGAGAACATTTACATGTGTTGAATATATCAGAAATCTGTCATATTTTCAAAACATGAAACTATAATAAATAGTATGGTAGTGAATGCTGAATTATAGGTTTGAATACCAACAGGAAGTTACAATACAAAAGGATGCAGAAAAGAGGCTGAAAAGGGAGAGAAGGTGAAAGTAGAAAAAGGCACAGAGAAGAGTGGCTGATGGAGCACTTGGTTGCCTGAATACAGGTCATTTACATTTCTGTTACCTGTACCTGGAAGCAAACCCAACACACAGTCAACAGCATTTTAAAATCTCTAACTCATGTTCTGTTTGTCTCCATTTAAGTCTCAAAAGCTCTCTCTCCCATAATTCAGTCTCCCTGTCAGCAAATGTGTACAGGAAAGGAAGAGAAATCGCATATCTCTGGGATTTGTTTCTGTGTGTGCCTCCGCAAAAAACTCAAAGATGTGTTATTCATCACGAAATTCAGACCCATTAGTGTGCAGTATCCCTCCTTCCTGACCCTAGTTTCTCCTCTCAATGCATCACTCTTAATGATGTATAAACATTTCAAAAAAAGAAAAGAGGTAGTTTTTTAAAAATTTATATTGTTTAAGGATGAGAAAAACCACAAAAAAGAAGGAAAATAACAGTGGGAATAAGACAAACATTAACATTCTATCTAAATTCTTAAGGGAAATTCAAGTTTCTTGCTAAAGGATTGTAGCCAGATTCAGTTCCATGATTATCTCTAACATGACCATCTTGTTAGTATATTTTCTGGTACCCATTTTAGCTGAGATTCAGCGGTAATCATAAGCTATTTGTTAAAGCATGAGAAATTTATCACCAGATTCACAAATCTCTGTCTGACTCCATCCTGGTTTGTTCCCCTAGTGAAAAATGCCCTATTTTTTTTTTATTGGTTGTTCAAAACATTACATAGCTCTTGACATATCATATTTCATACTTTAGATTAAAATGCCCTATTATTAAGTTACATTTTTATATTATGTAGTATAAAATGATTTTAGTGCAATTTACCATTACTGTTTCATTCATTTCATAGATATATTAAGTGCTATGTACATGACATTGTGCTGGGATAGATGTCTTGGGGAATATAAAGAAAGAACAAAATGTAGTTTTTTTCTTTTAACAATATATAAACTGCTATTTTATATAACTTTCCTATAGACTTATATTATGAAATATATTACCTATATGCTGGTCCTATAAACACATACACACACACACACAAACACACACTCACCAAAAGTTGGTATTATTTTAAATAACAATTAGCAGGTGTTGAATGTAGAACTTTTATATATTACTTTGTGGTGTCTATAAACCTGTGCTAGTATTTGTACAAGAGAAAAATATTTTAATAAATGGATATGACTATGACAGTAAGAAGGCAGATTAAGGGAATAACTATTTTTATAGTTCCTGTTATAAAATTGTGGCTTGTAACTCTAATACTCAAAAATTCTTATATTATCTATTTTTTTCTGGTATTACACAGGATCATAGAAGTATATTCCTCAAGATTACATATCCAATAAGTGGTAATACCAAGACTAGTTCACAGTTCTGAGTATCATGCTACCTTCCAGAGAATTGAAGATTGAGAGTCCAAAATCTCCACATTTCCAAGTAAATGCAAAAGCAATACTCTTGGGCATGGATATGGGCTACATGAGTTCTCAAAACCTTTGCTTTTTAAAGTGTTTTTTGTCCTCACTTAAGAAAAACTAATACAAGCAGTGAAAGTCTTTCATAAATCAGTGTCAATATCCGTTCTGCTTAAAAAACATTATTTTAACCTATTGAAAGTGAGCAAATATTTTTAAAGTAGCTAGCATAATTTCTGGCACACATAATAGGTACTCACTTCCCATAATAGTACCACTTCCCATCAGTTTTATCATGGTTCATTATCATCCCAAAAATTTGATCTTTATTTATGAGAATTCCTTTTTCCCAGTTCTGAGTTAATGGTAGTAGAAGGTTTATCAAAATGTTATTGGCCAGGATTATATATTCATCAGTATTATGAGATAAACAAAGTAAAACATGTTCCTTTACTGAAGCACTTGTCAGAATCCATAACATACTAACGTGGTTGAGACTTTCCTAGTGGCAAATGTGGTATGAAATGTCTTGGACAAGCATTCTAGATCAGGAAACCATTTTTTCACTAACCATCTCAGGGACCAATGGTTCAGCTGGAGCAGTGTGGGGAAATACTGTTCATGGCTAAGCCCTGAATCACCTAGCTGTCTATCTACTAACCAAAGTTTTTGGTTTCTTTCTCTTTTTTTTCCCCCATACCTTCAGCTACTCAAGTTAGTTCATTTCTTCTCTCTGTACCATTCTTTCTTCTGTCAAATCTTATTGAATTCAGGTGAAGAAATGGTGAACACTAAGATGCAAAGTAATTTTTGTTTTAATGGCACTGACCAGAAGCTTCTCTGTTTACTCGGGGAAACCTACTTAACAACTGTGGAGACCCTGGGAAATGCTTACAAAGCACAGAAGAAATTGGGATGGAGAAATGGTCATAGCCATTGTACACTCAGGCTGAGGACGTTAATGGTCTACAACACAGTAATGGCTAATTTTCCTTTCCCTGTGTCAACACTGTGCTAAATGGTTACCTGTATTATCTTGCCACACCCCCACAAGGTAGGAACTCTTATTATCTACATTTTACCAGTGATCTCACTGGGGCTCCAAGGGATTAGGAACTTGCACAAGGTCTCAGCACATGTAAGTGAAAAAGCTAGCACTCCAAATTCAGGTGGTTTAACTTCACAGCCTGTCAACCAGTACCTCAGCCTCAGCTCTTCATAAAGGAGGATATATGGTTTTTACATGGTTTTCCTCATGACAGAAGAATTTGCCATGTTAGTTTAGAGCTGTTTAGGTAAAACTTCCATAGGTCCCTGATATGGCCCTGAAGATGAGAAAAGTCTTATATGACCCTAGAATTTTTCAATTTGAAATCGTGAGTCTTCCTATTTCAAAATAAACATGATGCTATTATAGATATAATTTAAAAATTTACAGCCCCAACTCAGGCTTAATTTTGCTTAGCAATTAGACCAAAATAATACAGCTCTTCTTTATAAATAAAAGGAGGAGGAGAAATATCTGTTCTCTAACAATGTTCATAAATCTGCCTTTAGTATAAATTTTGCCACAACATCAGAGGGAGACTTTTGGCATAGAGCCAAGCCTTTGAAAAGCCACTCTAACCTTGTGCGGCATATAGTGCCATAAAACGTGGGCTCTGACCTTCCAAAGAAACTGTAAAGAACCATTTTGTGCCTCTTATCTTTTTTTTTTACTCTCCATCTCCAGTCTGCTTAATTACATTTTCACATGAACTCTGTAGGTATTAAGTGAAGCTGGACCCATTCAATATTTCTATTCAATCTTCTCAGAAAATTGGTTCTGTTTTCTTTGGGCAATCTGTAGGTAGTTTCCGATGGATTTCGACACCATTCTGATGATGTATTTCCCCAGCCATTTTTCTTAGGGGACACTTCTGCTATTTTATTTTTAAGATAAAACTTTCCAGAGTCATCTGAATCCATCACAGTATTTAAAAAATATAGTTGTCATCCTTGTCAAAGCTGGAGGAACCCAATGGAGAAAATCTTAGTTCGTTTTCTCTAAGCTGCTCCTGCTGCCTGCTAAGTGTTAAACCTCTAACAGGGTTTCAGTCATTTTGCAATGAAATATTTCCAGTACTTGTCCCCAACAGCAGAAAGCCAAAGCCTGCCATTTCCTTGGCTTTCCAATTGACAGAGATGGCGTGAATATCTCTGACCCAATAAAGACATATGGCCTTGTGTGTTCCTGGGCTCAGGGTGTTTCCATAGGTCACTCCATTATTTTCATTTATCACTCACAGTAGTAACCCTTTTAAACTGTACCTTTCAGTATTCCATTTGCTGAGGAAATTGAGCTGCTTGTGCATCCCTTGATTGAAAGGGTACTGTTAAGAGGATTAGACAAGAAGGTGAAAAAAAATTTTCTTTCCTTTTTTTGTTAAAGTCCTAGGTTAACTCTTAAAATGAAGTTATGAACTGGCATAAAAATTATCCAGTAAGTGGGTTCAAAAAGTAAAAATGTTAGCTACTCTGATTTGAAAGATAAATAATAATAATCTGAGTATGTTTAGAAAGCTTTTATTCACACAAAAAATTCCCCGCAGATGAGGTGATTTAATGATCCAACACCATGTGATAAATTTTCATCATCAACTTGACTTTAGAATTTAACTTTTAAGTGGAGGAAGACAGACAAGAAGGAATGGGGATTGTGTTTGTAAACCACTAAGAAATATGGATTGTGCAGATTACTGGCTAACATCAGATCTGACAGAAGTATGTGGTGATTTCATGTATTGCTCCTGGAGCATGGCTAATTCCTAGGCCATTTCGTTAGTAACAGCCCATTTCTTGTTCAATCCCTAAATCTACACTCCCATTTGGTTTGGCACCAGGAGAATTAACTCATCGACACAAAATCATAGAATTTTACATGATTGCATTAGCAGATGGTACAAACAAAATAAACCTGGCAATTTTAATCAGGAAATATTTGAAAGTCTGCTTTGAACAGAAATTAAAAAAAAAAATGTTTATGCTTTTGAAGAGTGGCACTGAGCCCTCGAAAAGCTAAAACTCTGATCATGTCAAGTTGAATTGCAAACTGGGCTTCAGTTTCTTTTCCTTTTGCTCCCTTACAGGGCATTTCTGTGCTGACCTGTACAAATTCAAGGGTCATTCTGAGAAATGGCTCACCCCACTCTCCCGGGTGTGCAGAGTTCAATGCCCATCGGCATTTGAACTATGCCCTCACTGTGATGTGATACAGCACAGGCACGTACTGCAAACAAGAAGAACTGCATTTTTTGTCTCACCTAGAGATGAAAGAACTGGGCTATTCAGCCTTGCAATGGAGAATCACAGCCACTGAATCAGGGAAAGCTTGTGGGAAAGAGGAGAACTGGACACAGAAGTACACTTTATTCCAAACTTGTTAAGTGGCTTCAGGCAAGACATTTGCTTTTTGAGCTCTTTTCCTGCAGTGCAATGATAGTCACCACCATTGGGTGTACGCTGCTGCTTCTCTTATGACTCATCTAATTCAATAACTAATTGGGGGCTTGAAATTACTGGACTTCAAGCTCTCCAAAACTTTGGGTTATTGGCCATTTTATCCATAAATTAACCCTGCGTGGATTGGAACCGAATATAGTAGAAATGACAAATCGGTTCTGCTGTACTCTTCAATTTTGGCCACTGAGTGGAGCCCATAGTCAGCAGCAAAAGCAGGGTGCACACTGCTAACAGGGAAGCAAATGGATGTGTGGCAAAATCAAATCTCCAATGCAATATAAAGTCACAATAAAGTGTGCTCATAAGCCAATCTTCAAAAGAGCCATTAGTGCAGAAATGTGATTATTTTATCCTTCCTTGTTCAACATAGTTTAATTATATATAAAGCTGGGGGACATTTTCCCAAGATGTGTGTTTTCCATTAACCACTGTCTTTTTCTTCAGTGTTTTGTTTTCCTGACATTCCCTAGATTTCTTGTTCCTCTTATTCACATTTTCATCTAGTTAATTAAGTAAAGACCAGTGTCGAACTGGTGTTTCTATTTTTTTGGGGGGGAAAGGTATTTATCTTTGTTTTTATTTTATAATTTTTTAATTAGTTATACATGACAGTAGAATGCACTTTGATACATCATATATAATGGAGTATAATTTCTCATTGTTCTGGTTGTACGTGATGTGGAATCCCACCAGTTGTACAGTTATGTGTGTATATAAGGTAATAATATATGATTCATTCTACTATCCTTCCTTTCTCCTATACCCCTTTCTTCATTCCCCTACTTAATCTGAAGTAACTATTCTTTCCTAGCTGGCCCCCATTGTGAATTAGCATCCACGTGTCAGAGAAAACATTCGGCTTTTGGATTTTGGAGATCGGTGTTTCCATTTTTAATCAAAATTACTAAAAGCCTGACTGGCAAGAAGATTTTCCTCTAACATAATTTGTCTATAATTGGATTGGGACATAGGCTATTCAGTCCTAGTTTATAGTAATGTCCTCGAAGGACTTCTCCATTTTCTAGAGAACCCACTGGAGATATATTCAGGATTGCATCATATATAGTTCAACTGTGGAGCAAATTATTCAGTTGTGATGTTCACTTCTTGTGGAGATTTTCCTGTATAAACTAGATTAAATTAATAAATGGGAGGGTGTGTTTACGTTTTGCCCAAAATGAGTGTCAGATACAGACTAGAACAATGGTCTTAAACCTGACTATGAGTATTTCCTAGGAAAGTTATGTTTTCTTTCTTTCTTTCTTTCCTCCTCCTCCTCCTCCTTCTTCTTCTTCTTTTTTTTTTTTTTGTGTGTGTGTGTGTGCTTGGGATTGAACACAGGGCCTTGTGCATGCCAGGCAAGCAATCTACCACCTGAGCTATATCCCCAGCCCCTCCTGGGAAATTTTAAAAACACATATTTTCAGGCTCACCTCATATCAATGAACTATAATTTTTATTGGTAGGGTGAAAAAATGCGTATTTTTTAAAACCTGAAGCATTTTACTTCAAGTCAGAGACAAGCAATAATACTTATAACCAGCCAAATGTTGAAATCACTGATCCATAATATCCTAGGCCTAGAATAATTTATGTAAAAATCATACTAATAAATGGAGGATGGGCATTATAATCATGGTAGCTTTAGCTGTAAAACTTTCAACTCATTATTACATTATGTGAACATTACATTATGGCCTTGATGACTTCTAAATCTAAATTTTAATTTGGGATTTATAGATTCGGCAAATATTGAGGTAGCCTATGGAAGATGCAATGAAAATAAATAAAATCCTTGACCAGACACTCATTGAATAGTTAACACAACAATCCACAATAGCACTGATACAATGTTGGATATCATTCATCTTAACTCATAAGGGAGAAACCAAAGCAGACCTTTCTATTTTATGCTTTCTTTACATCACCATCTCAGTCAAAGGGTCATTGATTTGAAAGGACAATCAAGAATAGATAGATAGCTCTTGCACTGTTTGCCACGGTCGCCTTCAGCATGGAGGAAATTTATGCCAAGTTTGTGTCTCAGAAAATCAGCAAAACCCGCTGGCGACCAGTGCCTCCGGGAAGCCTGCAAACCGCAGAGACCTTCGCTACCGGCTCTTGGGACAATGAGGAAAATTATGTTTCATTGTGGTCTATTGGAGATTTTGTGAATTTGGACTCTGATGGAGGATTTGAAGGAGACCATCAATTATTGTGTGATATCAAACACCATGGTGATGTCATGGATTTACAGTTTTTTGACCAGGAAAGAATTGTAGCTGCTTCATCAACAGGATGTGTAACAGTTTTTCTCCATCATCCAAATAACCAGACTCTGTCAGTCAACCAGCAGTGGACAGCAGCCCACTACCACACGGGGCCTGGCAGTCCTTCTTATAGCAGTGCCCCATGTACAGGCATTGTGTGTGACAACCCAGAAATTGTCACAGTTGGAGAGGATGGTCGAATATATCTCTTCAGGGTTGATCACAAGGAAGCTGTAAGAACAATAGACAATGCAGATAGCAGTACACTCCATGCTGTAACCTTCCTTCGAACTCCTGAGATACTTACAGTAAATTCAATTGGACAGTTAAAAATATGGGACTTCAGACAACAAGGAAATGAACCTTCTCAGATATTATCATTGACTGGTGATCGAGTGCCACTTCACTGTGTTGACAGACATCCCAACCAGCAGCATGTTGTAGCTACTGGTGGCCAGGATGGAATGCTGAGTATTTGGGATGTTAGACAAGGTACTATGCCTGTATCTCTGCTGAAGGCTCATGAGGCTGAAATGTGGGAAGTTCATTTTCACCCATCCAATCCAGATCATCTATTCACTTGTTCTGAAGATGGATCCTTATGGCACTGGGATGCCTCCACAGATGTGCCAGAAAAGTCCTCACTCTTTCACCAAGGAGGAAGAACCGGTACTTTTTTGACTCATAGCATTAGTAACCAGGCTAACGTTCACCAATCTCTTATAAGTTCCTGGCTCAGCACTGATCCTGCGAAAGACCGTACTGAAATCACAAGCTTGCTTCCCAGCAGGACTCTGTCTGTGAACAGTTTGGATGTTTTAGGTCCTTGTCTTGTTTGTGGAACTGATGCAGAAGCAATATATGTTACCAGACAACTGTTTTCATGAAAATACTGGGATTATAATATTTCAAGTTAAATATATAGCTAGCCCTTTGAAAAAAAAAAGAATAGATAGATAGATAGAGATACAGATAGAGATGTGCTGGGTAAAGGTATAAATCTGTTCAGGTTTTACTTTCTTTCCCATTTTTTTCTCTCTACTGATAGTTACATTTTAACTTTCCTTCTGAAATTTTTATAACCATATGTATAATATCAACAAACTCCATTATTGGAGAAAAGGCTTCCTTCTACTTGTACAGAAGAAATCATTTGTCCTCTAACAAAATTCAGGCAATACTAGAATTTGTTCAACTCATCTCCCTTTTTGGGGGCTCTGGTTTTTGATTTATCACTAAGTATGTACATAGGACTTAATCCGGTACTCAAAAATCTGTGAATCAGACTGACCCTGGCCCCACATTCAGAAGTGGCAGAGGATACTGACCCCAGCCCAACATGGAGGAGGAGACTGACTGTGCTGTGGGTCCCCCATCTACCAACGCATGCCTCTTCCAGTCTGCTTCCATCTAGAGACAATAACCAGGACCTGGAAGACCATGACCAAGGTCCCTGCAGGCCTGGTTACAACAGAGGTATTCCTACTAGTCTATTTTTCTTGATTCCTCTCTCACTTTTCCTATGGTCTAATACCTCTATATTCCCACCTCCTACCTCATAAACCCCACCCCCACACCCTGCCTTTGTCCACCATTACAAACTGTAGATTCATACGTAAACCTACTGTTGATATTGTAGATATTAATTGAACACATCATTTCTGTTTATTGTGACAAAAGTGCAATTGGCTAAATAGGAGCTATTTGGTTTAAGGCTAAACATTCTTTGCATTGGATGCTGTAAATATTGATCTTTCCCCTAAAGGCAAGGTATTGGTACCCTGCAGGGACATGACAAAATTATAGGGTAGAAACTGTAATACATCAGATCCTCACTGCTAGAGAGGAAGACACATGAACAACATGAAAAAAACAAGGGAAGAAAGTTCATCCAAACAAACCAAGATATTACCATAACAGAATCTATTGACAGCACAGTAGATGAAATGTCAGAGAAGGAGTTCAGAACATACATAATTAAAATGATCTGCAGAGAATGATGTAAGAGAGCAAATAAAGGCATCAACTGATCACTCCAACAAACAGATAAGAAAGCAAATACAGGTAACAAAAGATTACTTCAAGAAAGAGATAGAATTTTTGAGGAAAAAAACAGAAATACTTCAAATAAAGGAAAAAATAAAAAAATAAAAAATTCAACAGAAAGCATCACCAACAGACTAGATCACTTGGAAGATAGAACCTCAGGCAATGAAGACAAAATATATAATCTTGAAAATAAAGTTGACCACACAATGAAGCTGATAAAAAACAATGAACAGAAACTCCAAGAATTATGGGATAACATGAAAAGACCAAATCTAAGAATTATCAAGGTAGAGGAAGGCACAGAGATACAAACCAAAAGAATGCACAATCTCTTCAACGAAATATCAGAAAATTTTCCAAACATGAAGAATGAATTAGAAAATCAAATACAAGAGGATTATAGGATACCAAATGTACAAAACTACAACAGATTCACACCAAAGAACATTATAATGAAAATGCCTAGCATGCAGAATAAGGAGAGAATTTTAAAGTTTCAAGAGAAAAGTTCAGATTACATGCAGGGAGAAACTAATTCCGATCTCAGCAGATTTTTCAACCCAAACCCTCAAAGTTAGCAGATCCTGGAACAACATACACCAAGCTCTGAAAGAAAATGGATGCCAACAAAGAATATTATGTCCAACAAAATAAAGCTTTAGATTTGATGATGAAATAAAAATCTTCCATGATAAACAAAAGTTAAAAGAATTTACAATGAGAAAGCCTTGAACTACAGAACATTCTGGGCAAAATATTCCAGGAGGAGAAAATGAAAAACAACAATGAAAATCAGCAAAGGGAGGAACTACAATAAAGGAAAAGCCAATCAAAGGAGAAACCAAGTCAAGTTAAAAACCAAAAATAAACCAAGATAACTGGGAATACAAACCATATTTCAATAATAATCCTGAATGTTAATTGTCTAAACTCATCAATCAAAAGATACAGACTGGCAGATTGTATTTCTTTAGAAAGACCCAATAATATGCTGCCTTCAAGAGACTCATCTCATAGGAAAAGACCCTGAAGGTAAAAAGATGCGAAAAAACATATCATTCAAATGGACCACATAAACAAGCAGGGTTTTCCAATCCTAATATCAGATAAAATGGTCTTCAAACCAAAGTTAGTCAGAAGGGATGAAGAAGGTCACTTCATACTGCTTAAGAGAACCATACATCAACAATACATAACAATCATAAATATCTTTGTCCCAAACAATGAAGCATCCCCATGTATCAAGCAAACTCTTCTCAATTTCAAGAATCAAATAAACCACAACACAATAATACTGGCTGACTTTAACACCCCTCTCTCACTGCTGGACACATCTTCCAAACAAAAACGAAACAAGGGAACTATTTGATACAATCAATAACTTAGACTTAACAGACATATATAAAATATTTCATTCTTCAACAAGTGAATATACTTTTTTCTCAGCAGCACATGGATCCATCTTCAAAATAGACCATATGTTATGCCACAAAGCAAGTCTTACCAAATTTAAAAAAAAATAGAGATACTACCCTGCATTCTATCTGATCATAATGGAATAAAATTAGAATGATAAAATTAAAAAAGATAGAACTACTCCAACACCTGGAGACTAGACAATATGCTATTTAATGATACCTGGATAACAGAAGATAAAAAAAATTCTTAGAGGTAAACAAGATCCTCTGATATAACATATCAAAATCTCTGGAACACTATGAAGGCTGTGCTAAGAGGAAATTTCATTGCATTGAGTTCATTCATTAAAAGAATAAAACTCAACAAATAAAAAACCTGACAATACATCTCAAAGCCCTAGAAAAAGAAAAAGAAATCAACACCAAAAGAAATAGAAGACAGGAAATAATTAAAATCAGGGCTAAAATCAATGAAATTGAAACAAAAGAAACAATAGGTAAAAATGGACAAAACAAAAAGCTGGTTCTTTAAAAAATAAATAAAATTGACAAAACCTTAGCCACCCTAATGATAAGAAGGAGAGAGAAAACTCAAATTACTAAAAATGTGATGAAAAAGGAAATATCACAACAGATACTATTGAAATACAGAAGATAAGTAAAAACTAAAAAAAAAAAAATTATACTCGAGTAAAACAGAAAATCTCGAACACACTGACAAATTTCTAGAGGCATATGATTTACCCAAACTGAATCAGGAGGACAAACACAATTTAAACAGATCAATTTCAAGCAATGAAATAGAAGACTCCATCAAAAGTCTACCAACCAAGAGAAGCCCGGGAACAGACAGATTCTCATTCATGTTCTACAAAGGCATCAGAGAAGAATTAATACCAATATATCTCAAATTATTCCATGAAATGGGAAAGGAGGGAAACTTTCTAAAACTCATTCTATAAAACTAGTATCACCATAATATCAAAACCAGACAAAGATATATTAAGGAAAGAAAACTTCAGACCAATACCTGTGATGAAAATAGATGCAAAAATTATCAATAAAGTTCTGAAAAAGTGCATACAAAAACATATTAAAAATATAGTGCAGCGCAATCAAGTGGGATTAATCCAAGAGATGCAAGGTTGTTTCAACATATGAAAATCAATAACCATCATTCATCATATCAATATACTTAAGTACAAAAATCATATGATCATCTCAATAGATGCAATGAAAGCATTTGACACAATACAGCACCTCTTCATGTTCAAAACACTAGAAAAACTAGGGTTAGTAGGAACAAAGCTCAACAATGTAAAAGCTATCTATGCTGAGCCCAAAGCCAATTATAATTCACGGAATTAATATTATTCTAAATGAAGAAACATTGCAAGCATTCCCTCTAAAAACTGGAACAAGACATAGATGTCCTCTTTCATCAATTCTATTCAACATAGTTTTTGAAACTCTAGCTAGAGTAATCCAATAGATGAAAGAAATTAAAGAATATGAACAGGAAAAGAAGAACTCAAATTATCACTATTTTCTGACAACATGATTCTGTATTTAGAAAATCCAAAGAATTCCACCAGAAAACTTCTAGAACTAATAAATGAATATAGCAAAGTAGCAGGATACAGTGGTAGAGCACTTGCCTAGCATGTGTGAGGCACTGGGTTCGAATCTCAGCACCACATAGAAATTAATAAATAAAGGCCCATTGAAAACTAAAAAAAAATTGTAAAAATCAATACCCATAAATCAAATGCATTTCTGTACATAAGCGATGAATCCACTGCAAGAAAAATTAGGAAAACCACTCCATTCACAATAGCTTCAAAAATAAAATACTCAGGAATCAATCTAAAAAAGAGATAAAAGACCTCTATAATGAATACTATAGAACACTAAAGAAAGATGTTGAAGAATACCTCAGAAGATGGAAAGATCTCCCATGCTCTTGGATAGGCAGAATTAACATAGTCAAATTGGCTATACTACTAAAACTTCTATACAGATTTAATGCAATTCCTATTAAAATCCCAATGAAATTCTTCATAGAACTAGAAAAAGCAATCATGAAATTCGTTTTGAAAAATAAGAAACTCAGAATAGCCAAAGCAATCCTCAGCAAGAAGAATAAAACAGGAAGTATCAAAATATCAGGCTTTAAACCACACTACACAGCAATAGTAACAAAAATGGCATGGTATTGCTACCAAAATAGACTTGCAGACCAATGGTACAAAATAGAAGACACAAAGACAAATGCACATAAATATGGTTCTGTCATACTAGACAATGGTACCAAAAACATACACTGAAGAAAAGAAAACCTATTCAACAAATGATGCTGGGAAACCTGGAAATCCATATGTAGCAAAATGAAATTAAACCTCTATCTCTCACCCTGCACAAAAATCAACTCAAAGTGAATCAAAGACGTAGACATTAGAACAGAGA